GCGGGCCCGGTGCTGCGGCCCGATCGTCGCCGTCGCCGTCAGGGTCTTTTTCGCCCCGTCTTAAGCCAGCCCGAGGGGTCGACTCGCTCCCGGTAACCCCTGGTAACCCCGTACTTCTGTTTGCTCGTTTCACCGCCTCACAGCAAGTGAAGAGTCGGAATCGCGCTTAAATGGCTCTTCGGTCGCCGTGTGGCGAATCGCTCCCAACGCCCGAATCCTGCCTGCAGGTGCGGTGTCCCCGCAGCCCGCGGTGCACAGCGAGCCGGGTGCCTTCGCTGCCCGGCGCTGGTCCCCGCCCCCGGCAGCTTCTTGGTCGGCTGAACCGGCTGCGCTCGCCTGAGGCTCGGGGGTGTCACACCAAGCCCGTCCAAAAACCCCTCTTCAGGCACAACGTTTGCAAGAGAAGTTTTATTTACGAAAGGTGTTTCAATGAAAATTTCTTAAAAGTCGAAAAAGACGATGCGAGTTTACGGCGGAAAATATAACAAATTGCACAAAATATTAACACTGATCTTACAATATTTCAATGATTAACAGGCATGTGCTAAAGAAACTGTAGAGTCTAGAAATATCCCAAATATATCTAGTTTACAGATTGCTGTACAAAAAGCAGTTATAAATACTTCACATCTAGAAAAAATACACAGAACCTTTGAAATAGACTTTCCCTTACATATAAACAACCTTTGTAGAAAAAACAAAAACACCCAATAAAAACAGGCCAATCCTCCCGCTCCTAGATATGTCTGAACTAGGACTGGTTAGCACCATCTTCTTTAAGCGTGTCACAAACAGGAGCTGAGTTTCGATTTTTAAAAATTATCTTAGCGTTTACAATTCAATTAAGACCAAACGGGGACTACAAAAGGTAACACGAAATGGTACATTCATAGTTTGATAGGAAATGAGTGCAGAGGAGGAGGAAGCAGAGGGCGGTTTGTGTAGTAGTTCCCATTCCTACAAGACTGCCGTTTGTGCCAGCAGTAAATTACTTTGACCCTGATCTTTCACACAGTTATGCAGATGATTGATGAAGTCCATACCAGCAGTATCAGGCCTTTTAATCTGTTCCATTTTCTTGCCATGTCAAAAGTCAAACCCCTTTCGAAATAAGACACCTGTTGTGAAGTTGTAATAGCTGAAATGCACGTTTCCCTAGAACACCTGTATGGAATTGCACTAAAAATAAAATGTTTTGTAAAAGGGAGTCCAGGAAAGTTTATTACAGACAATTTGGCAGGCTCAGGTTTATGGTAACGCAGTGTTTCTACATACAGTTTTAAGACTAGAACAATTATAAATCTTTTTTAAAAAAATCTACTAACTTTTCTTGTTAATATTAACATCAATTTCTTTAAGTTAGTAATCTGCTATTACAGGAGCATAGCACCAATTTAATATTTATTGCTGTCATTTATCCCTACAAATATATTTTCCCAAGATATTTACAACTGTACAAGTATTCACAAAAGTGCAAAATTAAGACTTTATTCTGTGTAACCGTTCGTTGTCTTCAGTGTTGAGTCTCACGCACCATGATGACAGCCATCTTGCTGTTCTTATTGCTGTGGGGTGAAAAGTCAGAACACCCTGCTGCGAGTACAGCGGTCTGGAGTGAGAATTTTCAACAACCGTCTCTTCTCCCACCTCGCTCCCCACTCGCCTTCAGCTCCGTTACGTGCCGCAGTCACAGCCCACTGGAAAGGGTCTCTATACGTCGTTCGAGCCTTGACTGGCGCAAGAGGAGAAGCTATCGTACAGAGAATCGCTCAAGGATTCCAAATTGTCCACGTCGTGCCTACCCGAGCTATTTAAGGAAGCTGCTTCTTTCTTTCCATTTTCTTCCTTTTGTCCTTCAACCTTGTTCAGGCAGTTCTTATCTTTTTCTAATAAAAGTACGTTATTGCTGTTAAATTTATTGAGAGACTCCAGGGAAATTTTAGATAATCTATTCTGGGAATCTTCTTTTGTTTCTTCAGTTTGCTTCAATTTCTGTAATAAGTGGGGGAAATATTAGAAACATATTTCTTATAAAGTTATCCTGTACACCATTAATTACCGTCTTTCCAAAGTTCACAGGGTTAAAGGAAATAGTTAGATGCTTAAACATCTCTTATCATTAAATGGAACATTAATATACTTTTTAGGATAAATCATAACTTTAATGATTCTGCTGAGACAAACAGGACTCCATTTGCAAAACAGTTAAGTGCTATTAACATTGTAAGTAGCAGATCCTCGGTATGCATGTGTTAAGCATCTCCAGCATCTTCACAGTAATTTACATCTTCTCCTTTAAGAATACTTTGGGGGCTACATTTAAATGGGTATTTGTTTAAGTAGAGTTTGGGGTCTGCTAAAAAAAAAAGGAGCATAGACCTGTTCAGAGGAGAAAACAGCATTTTCCATAAATTACTGACGCAAATGAAACTTGCTAGAGAATAACCTCACATTTTGCATGTGTAAGCCTATTGATTTCCACAGACCCAAACCCTCTCTAATAGACAAGAAAGCAACAAGACAGGAAATTATACTGAACTGGGCCAATCCCCACAGACGAGAATCAATCAGATATCGGCCAGGCCTACTCGGAGAAGTGTTGTAATTCTGCGGGAACACTGGACGATGTATTAGCACATTATATTAAAAACGCACAGTAGGATTATACAAGAGTAATTTTATCCCTTTGTTAGCTACTGGTATTTTCAATGAGAGATCTGACCAAGGAATAGTTAGGGAACTGCGTAGGGAGCAGTTCAATAAAAATGACCTGCCGTTCATACACAGGGTGTTTCAAAACCTGTGTAACTAACTCCTCTTACAGATAACATCATCACAGAAATATAACATTCAACATTTTATAGGACTCTCAGAGAGGCAAGATGCAAGAATTCTGAGATATGCTGTCAGAGTGCAAGCCATTCCTCATTTTTGGTATTACCATCAGATAGCGAAGCCTGAATCAGTAAATTACTGTCAATCCAAGACATCAATATTTTGGTTTAGATAGAAAATGAAATGGCATTTTAAGCACATTGAAAATATAGCATGGCCGGATAGATGTATGGATGATGTGGGTCATTACGTAGGCAATTTTAAACAGTCATTAGAATTCTTTGAAGAATTCAAGTTTCAAGTAAGTCAAATGTTGTGCATGCTGCACTGCTTATCCTTGGAAATCTTGGGCAAGAGGAAGACAAATTGTTACATAGTTCACTTGCTTGTTTTTATGGCTAGTTAGGTAAAAATCGAAATGCCAGTCCAATGACTGTTTATGTTGTGATCTTGTCATATTTCATAAGCTAACAATGCCTGGATGAGGTTAGTGTTTTAATCAAATGTTTCATACAAACTTATGCAAAGCAACAGGAGATGCTAAAGTCTTAGTAGATGAAAATTTTCTGTTTGGTTCATTAATTAATCTTCAGTCTAAAAGGTTTTAGGGGATGTTTTGTTAGATTCTGATTTTAGATGACAGTTAAGGTCTTCAAAATCTGTAACTACAATGTTTCCTGAAATAGAGGAATATAACCCTTGGTAACAGGAACAAACACACATTTAGGACCCTTCAATAGAAATTCTCCTCAATTTCAGCTTAAAATGTTCTTCCCTTTGCCCTCATTTAAAATGTTACGCACTATCACTGAAACAGTTGTTTAACTTCTGTGTAGGCCAGATGAGAAAATTCTCGGACATGGCATCAATAACATACATATTAGCACTTTCTGCTCTTCAGAGTACTAAACCTAAAATACCTTATTATTTGACAGACTAAATGATTTTTCTTTGTGTATATTTTTCCCACTTTGCAGCTTTTCTTTAGATAAATTGAATGTGGCTACTTGGCACAGACTTGTGTCTGCAAGAAGTCAATATTGGTGTTAGTAAGGTCTATGATAAAACTTCTATTGATTCAAATGGAGCCAATTTCAACTCTTGGGTAGGAGGAGCACAGACACCTGGAGTATTTGCTGCACGGAGCAGTCCAGATGAAGTATCAAAGTAAGAGTAGGATCTTTGGCTGGCTGAAGGATAGAGTTAAACCACAGGACAGACTGGAGTGAATTCAGTGGTATATTCTGCATATATGTAGTATCAATAATTTATTATACCCTACAAGCACAACCTAGACTACAGTCCTACTTTAATCACACCCTAGTTTCTCATTTAATATAAGGCTAACAGTTTATACAATACATTAGAGAAACTGCAGGGAACAAAAGTATTCTCTACAAATTTTAAGCAAAATCATTGAATCAAATGAAACTGGAAGTGAACTGAAGTGAAGCCCATCAGTGAAACCCACTGGCAAAAGATACGCAGAGTAGTGAACGGTACCTCTACAATACATCCAAGAATTAAAAGAAAAACTAATCCTAAAAGTTGCTGTAGCAAAATTTATTACTAAAATAAGAGACAGAATTCAGAAATAAGTTACGGATATTTTTTGGACATACAGTTGTCCTTTTCAGATGTCTTAATGCCCAGTTACATCCTTCTGGGAAAAAAAAAAAAATCTTTTCCTTTCTTTAACACATTACTACAATAGTATGCAAATATGCGAAGGTAATGCTCATGTGATGTGGAAAGCAATACTTTGCGTTTTTTCTTTTGATGTAAGTGTAATCTCTTTGGCTACAATACACTGGTTTAGGCCACCTATTGCTAATTTTATAATCAGCTAAGAACGCGGGGTCATCTGGATGGGACTTTTGGTAGGGAATAATACTATGGAACTGTATTCAGATATCAGATGTACAATATGATCGTATCTCATGATTTTATTAGTACAGCTGCACTTAAATCTGTTAAATTTTCTGTTAAATTGTATATGGAATAAAAATATATTTGTAGTTAGACAGTTAAAATGTGATATTCTAGTCCTTGATACATAGAGGAAAATTCATTCACAGCCTGAGCTCCGTGAGCAAAAATAAAGAAAACTTTAAGCAGAGATATTAATGTAAGAATCTGCATAATCAAAAAATCATTTTATCCCACAGTAACAAAATTATGTACATTCCTAGAGTTGAAAATCACTGATAATTTCTTTAAATTTGGTGTGCCAGAACAAATGTTACCCCAAGTTCTTTAAGAATTTTTTCTCTAGTTACTATAGATACATTTTGGAAAAAATTACCAAAGAGTATTTATTTAGATTCATCCTTAATTAAGTTTCTTATTTTTCATGTCAGTCACAACAGCTGCTAGATGAATCAAAAGGCAAAACCAAAGCAACTATTATTAGAATTTGTTTGATAAATTGCTTATGTGGTTAAGTAGTGGCTTTGGTTTTGTTCATGTAGATTTGTTACTGACTTCAGCAGACTCACAGATGTAACAAAGAACAAGGGTTAGCCCAAAGATGTTAGTATTGTGCACTTTAAAGTAATTAGTTCATTAATACATTTGAGAGTCACACTAATGTGAATGAGTAGCTTTTCCTGCAGATAGGAACATTTGGCGGCAGATCGGATGTGTTTTGTATCCACGAGTATTGGATGAGGTTTGGTAACAGTGTAGAGAGCACCTCACCTCTAAGTCATGGGTTCCAGTGAAATCTTTCCTGTATTAGTAGTGCCCTTCTGCGTAATTAACAGGTGGTTTTATCACCACATGAAAAACAAGGACTTGGTGATTTTATTCAGTGTTGCTAGAAGAGCTAAGATGGGACCAACAGTATGTGCTTCCTCTCACACAGGATTCTTCTCAGAAGTCATACTTGAAGCCATTTCAGCCTGAAGGTGTTGACTTTGCTGCTGACTATTCTGCATCTGTTCTACGAATAAACAAGGTGTCTGCTGCATTCGGGGTGGTCACTATATGCTTTCCTAAGTATTAAGGGAAAAGATAAAAACATGTAGTCACAGATTTTGGTCTAAGCAAAATAAAAAAAAAGGCTCAGTGCCGAAAAGGACTGTGATTTTCACAGTGCCTCTGTAAAAGCACTGGCCCATCATCCTAAAGCAGATCAATGGATAGCTTGTTTTACTTATACTAACTCTACTTTTGGTATAGAAAATCCATACTGGTATAGCCTTAGGGCATGGGGAGCATTTGTTGTTCTACTCTGT